TGTGTGGAGAGAGCCCTGATAGCACTATAAATATATACACCAACCACTGTCAAGTTGATTCCAACTCAGAGCAACTATGTAAGATTTCTGAGACTATAAATCTTTATGGGAGCAGACAACCTCATCTTTCTTCCGTAGAGGAACTGGTGGGTTTTGAACCACCAACCCAGTGGTTAGCACTTCAGTGTTTATCCAACAGCACACACATTCTCTCTCACACATACATACAAAGGGCTTTCAAAGTTTGTGGAAAATTCCATTATCTTTCAATTCCACTTTTCCAAGAACCTTTTAAAGTTTCCTCTTGTGACATCCTCATTGTGCGCACACACACTCACACATATATACACACACACGTGTTAGGGTTTCATTAGGAGAAAATATATGGTACTTATGTGACACTAACATTACAACTGTCAATTTAAGCTGGGAATGAAAGCCGTAGATAAGTAAGAACCAACCAATTAAACTGTTAAATGAAACAGACAATCTTATTTCTTTGTAAAAGTACTGAAACACAACGTTAGGTTGTTGCTGAAATACAATACGTGCAAATAATTCACTATAAATGTACCCATCTCATTGTCCCCATTGAAGTGTCTGGAATTATTCTGTAATATTCTATTTATTACAACAGTCCAATTTTTAAAGCCTGTATAAATTGCATTAAGCTATTGAAACATACTGTTATTCTGTGTGGTAGTAAGAATGCCTTTATGAACAAATAACATCTGGTTATAAGTCATAGAATAAATCCCCTAAACCAAATTCTGATGCTTTCTAAGCTAATGAGAAATAAATTATACCATGATATATCAATTTTAAATGATAATGTTAACTAAAATTTATTTGGTAGTTTATTTTTTCCTTATGTCCTTCCAAAATTAAATAGTACAGAACAGGGTTTGAGCTATGATTAGTCTGGTCTTGAAAGATAATGGAATTTTCCATGATTTTTTTGAAGCCCCCTCATTTATACTTACAAAAAGTACAGATATCTACTTTTATAAGGGAAAGGCGTAATGGACAAAATGCATAATAAAATGAGACTTTTGTTCCATTTGCTCCGTTCAAGAATGATTAGCACAGCAAAACAAGAATTCACCTTGAATAATCTAATCAAGCAAATTGTCTAATGGAAATTCTTCTCTAAATATACTCTATCATTTACTTATAGATATATTATCTATATTTATAAACTTTTCTATTTTGGCCTACATTATATTTTTACGAAGAATCTGAAACAACGTTCTTTCAGAGAGAATCCTTTAAAGCACTTAGAAAAAAAATAAGAGGATATGAAAGTGCTTTCAGGCAAACTCTCAGAGTACCTTTTTCAAAAGATGAAGGTTGTAAATTATGATCATATAATTCATCATAATGCTATGAACTAAATATGGATAACTCAGATTCAATTTTTCATAAAATTAAATATTTAATGCAATCATGCAAATTGTTTTTTAAAACTGAATGGTTTTACTGACTGCTTTCCTTAACTCTGTTGTTGTTAAATGCCATCAAGTTGGTTCCAACCCACAGCGATCCTGTTTAGGGTTTCTGAGTGGCTGGTGGGTTTGAACTATTGACCTTGAGGTTAGCAGTTAAGTGCTTATTCTACAGCTCCAGACAAGGACTCCTATAGCATCATATCCAGACTCTGTAGTTCACCATGGACTTTTATTACAGGGCATGGTAATACTATGAGATGCACACATACTCTTCTTTCCCTACATTAATAATTTACATTATAAAATGTTAACCCAATTTTTCCTTGGTAACCAGGAACATCACCCCACCCAATAACTGCTTTATTTGTCTGTTGATTCAGAAGCATGTTAATGGTAAGATTCTCGTTTTCAGAGTAACACTAATATTTATTATAAAACAATCCTGTAACTTAAGAAACCCTACTTACTCTGCTTTGTAAAAGTAAGTATAAACTAGAAATGTACTAAGTACATTTTTAGTTGATATGTTCATGAACCAACCCCCTTGAGCAAAAAAGAAAATTTATGGGAAATTCCAAAGGAATTGAATTTGGAGAATTCAGTTAAGTGATTAACTAGTAATAAAGTGTTAACATTTTCAGGGGAGTTAAATAAATGAATCATCTGCTACCAAATAGAGACAAAAAAACACACACCAAAAACAAAAATAAATGCAATTTAAATAAACCATGGGGAATTTTACGGCATCCCTATTTATTTAGGCGTTGAAGAGGGCGTTCAGTAAAGTAACAAACACTATCATACTTCTGAGAGTATGCACTTGTGTAAGTACTTGTATGTGAGAGTGTAAGCACTTGAATAAAATAATCTCCTGCATTGGAGTCCTGATGTGCTTTGTAGGATAAACACTCTACTGTTAACCACAAGGTCAGCAGTTCATACCTGCTCTGAGTTGGAACGGACTTGACTAACACTTAAAAACAACAACATAGTAAAATATTAAGGAGCACAGATGGCACTGGGTAATAAGCACTGGACTGTTAACCACAAGGCAGGCAGCTCAAACCCACCAGCTTCCCTGCAGGAGAAAAGATGAGGCTTTCTGCTCCTATAAAGATTGTAGCCTAGCTGTGAGTTAGAACCGGCTCCTCGGCACTTAACAACAATATGGTGGTGGTTGTGGTGGTGATTGTGTGTAGTGGAACCAGTTCTGATGCATAGTGAATCTGTGGTACAGAGTTTCTGAGGCTATAAATCTTTACGGGAGCAGAAAGCGTCCTCCTTCAACCTGGAGCGCCTGGTGGATGCAAACTGCTGACCTTGTGGTTAGCAGCCCAATGGGTACATCACTAATCTACCAACAATATAGTAAGTCATCAGATATGTCCACTGCTATGTGATCCTTCATGACCGCCATTTTTAAAATAAGCATGTATACAATCTTACAAATTATCATTAGGTGATTTGAAATATGGGTGAAGTTTTTAGATAAAATACTATTGGGCTACAACATTATGATCATTAATACTTTTTTGTTAAACCAAGTAAAGGAAATATTTAGACATTACTATCCTTAGGTCTTCATTTCACATGCAGTATTTCTTAGTTACATTTATTGACCAATTTAATAGACTAAGTACAATTCATATAGATCAAAATGGAAATTGCTTTTAGGAAAATATATTTGCCCTTATTCCTCTTTACTTTCTACTCACTCCACACACACACATCAGTAAACTATAATTTCTCTATGGAAATAAAAGACCTTAGAATGATAGGAAAAATATCGGCAATGGGATACTGTTTAATGTTCAGTTATTCTCTTTAACAAAATTCAGCTCAGTTTTTTTTGCCCTAGAAAGGCAATTCATTGAAACCTCAATAATTAAAAAGATTTCAAAAGGAACTATGACTATGTACTTAAAAATAAAGTGCTAGATATATGTATCCTAATCAAAGTCTAAAGTCAATCTATATTTAGAGGTGAATTAAAAGTGCATTTTATAGGCCTTTCCACTCTATTTTTAGTCTCAAAGCCACGAATCACTAGAATTTCATTACACAAATTGTAATCTTAAGAACCTAGAATAACCTACCATCTTAGGAAGTGTTGTCAAAGGACAATGAGTATGGCCAATAGCTCTGGAGTAGCTTAAATCTTACCACCAGGTCTGTATGACACCAACATTACTATTGACTTAAACTTTTATCATTAATGGAATTTAAAATTATTCACATTTCAAGTGTAGACTCATCCAAAGTAATGCTATTCCTGAAACTACAGATGTGATATTGTAGTTGCATTTTTTTCTAATACAGTATATTACTTCATTAAAGTCACACATCACCAATGGTACAGCCAACACATTTCACAAAAACAGACCAATATAATTTTTCAACCAAATACTTTCTTTCTCGCGGTAAAGCTGATGAACATGTACTAGAATCATATTCAAAAGCACAGAGTAATGTTCAATGTTCTGTCATGCTGGCTATTTATTCACTGCAGTACATCATTTGAACTTTAAAAGCAATTAAACAATGATGGTATTGAATCTGAAATGCTCTGCCTTAGCTTCATATTGTTCAATTAACAAGATTTGGAGAAGTTGCACTTATACTAAATGAAGGCTGTATGTTGTGCCGTAGGTTCAGACTCATAGTGACCCTGTATAGGGTTTCTGAGGAGTGGCTGGTTAGCCTGAACTGCTGATCTTGGGACCTTGCAGTCCAGGGCAGCCCACAGTGCCACACCAGGACTCTAATCAAGGTGGTGGTGTGTCGAGGAGTCAGTTTCGACTCATAGTGACACTGCATAGGGTTTCTGAGCCTGTAAGTCCTTACAGAAGCAGAAAGCATCTCCCGTGGAACAATAGCTGGTAGTTTCGAACTGCTGACCCTGAGATTCGTAACCACTATGTTACCAGAGCTCCTTAATGAAGGCTGTATTGTATGTATATATAGCATGTACTGACTGAAGGTTCCACTTGGAATCTGTCTTTCCGAATACCAAAAGCTCCTGTGGCTTCCTCAGCTTATAAGAAATAAAAATGAGATTTCAATACACTAAGGGACTGACTTCTTGTTCTTTATAGAAAAAAAAATAATTCTATTTTGAGTTCTTGATTTTAATTTGGTTCAGTCTCTTCACTGTCAGTATATTCCATTTATTCCGCAATAAAATTTCAAATTGCCTGCCTATGGGTGAGAGCCAAAAATGGTAGTTTATTGTTCCTGAAAGCAGACGGAATAATTATCAAAACTCAAAGAGCTAAGAAGACAAATGAGCTCATAACAATTCAAATTATATTAAAATATCACTGTCCTCATGCGCTCAAACTACCCAGACCTCACCCATAAATATGAAACTCTGTAGTCCTCCTAGATATGAATCTAAATGAATTGGCAATGGGATGAAACCATAGAATTTAATTATGAAATATGGTAATTCACAACACTAGGAGAAACCCTTCACAAAGTTACTTAATAATTTCACTTAATCAAGTTCACATTATAACAAATGATAAAAAGAAAGAAAGCATGGATTCTAACCACTTTGTCCTCCTTTGGGGAAGCATCCAGGAAGCAGAGCAAATAGAAAAAGAAGAGAAAAACATAAATAAGGCATATATTAGTAAATACATTTCTTTTTTAAAAAAGCTATGTGTTTTTTGAAACTGGTAAAACAAACATATCTTGGAAAAATAATTGTTTACTTTCCTAAAAATTGTATATTTTTCAATATGACATTGAAAATACATATATGGTTCCAGCCATATATTAGGTACAAGTATTGGTCATGGCAATTTTTCTAAATTTTTAGAACTTATTAAATCTACAGTTAAAGATTTCTCAGAAAGGATGGTTAATTCCTTGCTAAATACTCTACTTATTTATTAAAAACAAATATTTTATAAGAGCATAAAATGTGAATAATTTTATAAAACTGCTGCTAAAATTTTATAGTCACAATTTGGCAAAAATTAAGAATGGGAAATGGTTTGTAATAAATAAAAATGGGAAGAGAAATACGTATTTGAGCCACAAATTATTCTACAAATAATATTTATTTGTAATATACATTTCAGCATTTATAATGGATAGGAAAAACCAACTTTATAAAATTTCTTGTCTTCATCACAAGACTAAATATTTAAAGCTGTGCTTTCTTTTCATTTGTTCTCTTAAATACTTTCTCCAAGATCAAATAGGTTTCAAAAGGATGGATACATTAGGTCTGAGTGTCCTCTCCAAAGTGTAGGTATCTCTAGAGCCATTTCTTAAACTGTTTCTGCTTTTTAAAACCGGAGTTTGACCCTAAGGTAGCTGGAGAAGGATATCATGTTAGGTAACATGGAGGATCAGAGAAAAAGAGGAAGAGCCCCAGCAAGATAGTTCGGCAAAGTGGCAGCATCAATGGGCTCAAGGATGGCAACAATTGTGAGGTTGTCCCAGGATTGGACAGTGTTTCGTTCTGTTGTACATTCTGAGTCACTATGAGTCGGTACCAACTCAATGGCATCTAACAACAACAACAATTTTAATATATCAATAGCTAACTGTATTGCTATTGGCTTTCCTCAATCATGTAATGAGCACTTAATTATATCCAACATCTATGGGCACCCAGCCAGTGTTAACACTCAGCCAACTTGTACCCAACTGTTAACTGCCAGCACCTATTCAGATTGGTCAGTGCTTTTGTTATTTGGGTTGTTAACTATTTTGCATATCATCCCTAGTTCTCACCCATGAGTATTTAGGAAAACTCAAGAAGGGAAATTTAGCAAATAGGTATCGTGCACTTTCTATGTGCCAGACATTATTTTGATATCCCAGCAGCTTGTTCTAGAAAGGCTTTAAGGTGGCATATAAGGCTTAACTACACTGTTGTTTTTAAGTGCCTTCGAGTCAGTTTCGACTCATAGTGATCCTGTACAAGGTTTCCGAGGCTGTAAATCTTTACAGGAGCAGAAAGTCTATCTTTCTCCCAGGGAACCGATGGTAGTTTCGAACTGTTTACCTTGAGGTTAGCAGCCCGATTCGTAACCACTACACTACCAGAACCCTGATTCTGCAATGATTAAGTGCTCAGCTGCTAACTAAAAGGATGTCAGTTTGAACCCACCCAGGAAATCCATGGGAGAAAAGGACCTAGCAATCTGCTATTGTAAAGATTATAGGTGATTGTTGTCAAGTGCCTTCAAGTCAGTTCTGATTCATAGCGATCCTGGATAGCATTTCCAAGGCTGTGCCTCTTTGCAGGAGGAGAAAGCCTCATCTTTTTCCCCCACAGCAGTGAGTGGACTTGTATTTTGTACAGAGCCACTGCACACAGCCTAGCAAACGAGGGTCCTATTCTGTTCCAATGGGTTGCTATCAGTTGGAGCTGATTCAATGGCACACAACAGCAGCAAAACAGGAAGAAAGAAAACTTATATGAATTAAAAAACCTAAACTTTAATTCTTTTTAGGTAAGTATAACATTAATATGAATTAATTAATAATATTCCATTTCAAAGATAAATAAACTGTTGTTTACAGATGTTAATTACCAGCCCAAGGCCATAGAGTTAATAGTATCTCATCTTGAAATATAAAACATATTTCTTATACTTAGTGCTTTAATTGTATTGGACAGGATTTTAGTGTACTCCACATAGAATTCAAGCAGAATGCAAAAGAATTCAACGTTGGTGGGAGACTTGTTTTTAATTTTAACTGTGATTTTCAACAACAACTTGATAATCTTAACTTCCATATTACACTGTGGATTTATATCAAAGCAAACTATAAAAAATTTGACTGTGCTAATTAATAAAATAGAATGCAACATTAAGATATATTCTAAACTAAATATTTATTAGGATTAGTCTAATATTTTACATATGATAATATTAGAGGTTACTATATAATAAGTGTAAGGAGCTCTGGTAGCATAGTGGTTACGAATCGGGCTGTGAACTGCAAGGTCAGCAGTTAGAAACTACCAGCAGTTCTGTGGGAGAAAGATGAGGCTTTCCACTCCCATAAAGATTTACAGCCTCGGAAACCCTGTGCAGGGTCGCTATGAGTCGGAACCGACTCCACGGTACTTAACAACAACAACAACATATAATAAGTGAGGAGTCCTGGTGTGGCACTATGGGTTAATGCGCCAGACTGCAAAGCCGTTTGAACTGTAAGGTCGGTAGTTCAAACTCACCAGCTGCTCCTTGGAAACCCTATGCAGGGTCGCTATGGGTTGGAACCGACTTGATGGCACTTAACAACAACAACAACAACAACATATAAGTGAAGTCCTGGTGGTGCACTGTGGGTTAATGTACCAGACTACAAAGCCGTTTTGTACTGCAAGGTTAGTGGTTCAAGCTCAAAACCCATGTAGGTTCGTTATGGGTCAGAACCAACTCAACAGCACAAAATAACAACAACATATAATAAGTAGAATCCTGGTGTGGTGCTGCAGCGTAAGCACTGAACTGCTACCTATCTGGCAGTTCAAATCTACCATTTGCTCCTTGGAAACCCTTTACAAGGTCCCTATGAGTCGGGACTGACTTGACAGCACACAAAACAGTAGACAGATAGCAAGTCTTAATGCTTCAAAAACTTCTGTGTTATTTAAAGCACTGTCATAAGGGAGCAGTAGCTTTTTAGGTGAGAATGCATCCCACAGAAAATGAGCAGCATAAAAAACAACAGCAAAGAAAACGAAAAGAAAAAAAAAATGTCTATTTTGACATGCTCCTTAAAAATGCAAATACATTTATCACTATCTTTCTTTAAATAATAACAAATATGAAATTATTCACCATAAAGGCTAATTGTTGTTTTATTATCTGAGATTAAACTGAATGCCACACAGTTTTGCCTGCATTTTACTTTAATTCAATCTAAAATAAACGCTGCAGAATCTAAAAGCAAATTTTCTATCATTGTGTCAAGAATGATTATGGTAACTTTCAAAAATTGATAATTTTTAATTCTAAATTCATATCTGCTACATTCTTCAGAAAAGGAAGTAAATTATTCCCGTAGGATGGTTTTGAAACGGAGTTGCTTAAGAAATGCCCACAATGAAAATATACTTTTATGAATTATTTTCATCACTTTTCCACTACTAAAACCTTACTGGAAATAGAAAACAAAGAACAACATGAGGGGACAGCATATTACTGTGCATGTGTAAGGATGTATCTGCTTGCTAACATGAATGTCTTTTCATGCTTTACTTGAGCGCAGCCCTTCTGCTGTTCCTGAAACACTCACGTTGTTTGATCGCAGAGAAACACGGCCTCCACAGCGGGCACAGAACTTTGTGCGACAGTAGGAGCAGAGATGGCCACACCCATCTGCAAACTTAGTTTTGTGGCAGATTCCACAAGTCGGTGCATCGTCTTTGTGCTCCCCCTGGTAACGCCGAGCTTCTTCCCCTATTTTTCTCACTTGTTCCTTATAGCTTTCAAATTGTTGATGCAATCTCCTGGGCAAAAGAGAACATGGTAGCAAACTAAGTAAATGATGGAAGGCAAAAACACAAAACAAAAGACAACAACGACTATTCCTAATGGAAGTGTAGCCAAAGCACTTATTTCCCCACTAATCTTACCTCCCCTAGTCTCAACATCATTTACTAACAGCAGACCATGTACAAGTGGACCCTATAGGATCACTGCATGCTACAAGCTGTGGAATTCAGCTATCCACTCTAGATTCTGGTTCTTTTACATGCATATTTTATCTGAGAAGCCAACACCTTACAACTGGAATTTTGTGTTGTTGTTATTGTTGTTAAGTACCGTGCAGTTGGTTCCAAAACTCATAGTGACCCTGAAGAGGGTTTCTGAGGCTGTAAATCTTTACGGGAGCAGAACTCCTCATCTTTCTCCTGCCGAACCACTGGTAGTTTTGAACTGCTAACCTTGAGGTTAGCAGCCCAATTCGTAACCACTACGCTACCAGAGCTCCTGGAATTTTGTGTATATAACCCAAAATCGATGAGTGCATTCTAGCTCATAGCGACCCTGTTAGGACAGAGAGGAACTGCTCTTTAGACTGAGACTGTTCATCTTTATAGGAGCACACAGCCTCATCTTTTGCCAGTGCCTGTGTATATGTTGTTGTTAAGTGCTGTCTAATTGGTTCTGATTCAGAGAGACCATGTATAGCATTTCCAAAGACTGGCTGGTGGGTTCGAAACACCAACCTTGTAGTTAGCAGTCCAGTGTTTACGCTACAGCGTCTGTGTATGTAACTGAAACAAAAGTTACATAGAGTATTTAGTCTAAATATATATCATGTACTCTTGATGTTTACTAGGTTATCTTTTTTTTTTTTAAACTACAATGCCGAATACAATTCAAAAAGTTTGTTACCATATATTGATTTTATGAATCACTAAGCACTCACCGCAAGGTCAGTCTGAACCACAAGTCTGGCAGATCCAGCTCACCAGTCACTCTTTGGAAACCCAATATATAGGTCGCTATGAGTCTGAACTGACTCGATGGCACTTAAAAACAACAACAAATGTGAGCACAGGCATTAAAAAAAAAAAAAATACTGCTTTAAATTACTTTAGAAATGAAAGTCTCGTCCACAATACATTTCCCTTCACATTCATTACTGAAGACTGCTTATATATTTGATATTAAGTACCTGACTGCATACAGTACACAGAAAGCACATGTAGTATATCTGAGCTTAGCAGTCCTTTCATATCACATTAAGTGTTCTCAATCACATCTTGAAAATATTAAGATTTCTACATAACCTAATTTCTCTTGGTCTCTGTTAGGTTAGGTGCATGAAGGTTGCCACCACTCTTTATTGATAACTACTGGCAATGGGACAACCAAGTCATCAACTGAATCACAGGATTCAAGTTCCTGCCACCACACCCCCATTCAAATGCCTCAATCCTACACTGTGACAGATAGAAACTGCTCGCTGTTCTGTATAGAACACTATGCCATGCAGTGAATTCCCTAGTGAAAAGATAGCTTGTTTTTGAGAGTTATCTTTGACCTACCCAGTAGTTATTTTCTATTTTGTCAAAAAGAAAACTCCTTGGAAACGGCTAACTAAATTTATCTGTGTATCTTAGCTAGACTGCAAGGTTGGTTTGGACCACAAGGTCAATGGTTCAAAGCCAACAGCCACTCCTTGGAAGCCCTACACAGGTCGCTATGAGTAGTAACCCACTCAGCAGCACTTAACAACAACAACACTTGCTGTATTTGAGTATTACCAGGGATACAGGATAATCTTGTGTGGCCCTATAGGATAAGCACTCGACCATAGGTTTGTTTGAACCACAAGGTGAGTGGTTCAAATTCACCAGCCAGTCCTTGGAAAACCCATACAGAGTCACTATGAGTTGGAACTGAATCGTCAGTACTTAACAACAACAGCATTATTACTTCAGAGTAGAACTGCCCCAAGGCTGTATGTCCTGGTGTGGGACTATGGGATAAAGCACTGGACTGCAAGGTTGGTATGAACCACAAGGTCAGTGGTTCAAACTCACCAGCTGCTCCTCCAAAACCCTATACAGGGTCTCTATGAGTCAGAACTGACTCATCAGTACTTAATGTCAACAACAACACTGTTATTGCAAAGTAGAACTGCCCCAAGGCTGTATGTCCTGGTGTGGCACTATGGATAAAGCACTGACTGCAAGATCAGTTTGAACCACAAGGTCAGTGGTTCAAACTCACCAGCTGCTCCTTAAAAACCCTACACAGGGTTGCTTTGAGTCATAATAGTAAACAACAGCAATGAGTTTGATTGATGTACTCCATCTAAGATAACAGGGCACACAGAATAAGTTAGGTCCAAGTACAGTGGTGTTTGAGGTGGTGGGATTTCATCCAATTTCCTTTTTAATATCAATAACTCTTGATCAGAATTTTAAGGATTACTTTTAAAATTCTAAAATCTCCTCCAGCTTTGCCAGTTGATGGAGATATATATTTTATATTTCATTCTCCCAATTAAAGCAAGCACATAAGTACTAACATGTAAAGTAGTTCAGGATTTTGTGAATGCAAGAATATCTGGTGACATACTAACATTTTTTAGTTAAATACATTATTTTTTATTGGTAGAAAATAACCATGGAAACCTTACAACTTCTATTAAAGACGATGTGGTTTAAGGAAGCAATATCTCCAATCAAAGAAACAAACTCTAAGCAAAGAAAAAGTACATGAATAAACTCTATGAGAACTCCCAAATCAAATCTCTGTAAGTAAATATAAACGAGTAGAAAGGTAGCTAGAAAGTTTCCCTATGATATTATTCTGTAATGCAGATCATGATTTAATACAAGTACTGTGAAAACTTTGAGGTGAAGGGTCAGATTGGAAACATTTTATACTTTGTGAAACATACTCTGTATTGCACCTACTCAACTCAAAGCAGCCATAAACAATAGTGAAACCAATGAGCATGGCTGTGCTCCAGTAAAACACAAAGGATATTTACCCATTCTAAAGGGCCCAATCAAAATGTCGTTATTTCAGGAGTCCTATTGTGGCACTGTAGGATAATCCCTGGACTGCAAGGTTGGTTTTAACCATAAGGTCGGTAGTTCAAACTCACCAGTCACTCTTTGGAAACCCTCATCAACTCAAGGACACTTAACAACATTGGGCTCAAACAAACTGGCAACTATTTCAGGAAAGATTTGTATATGTATGCAGAATATTGACTACTGAGACGAACCTTTAATCTGTTGCAATTTCACTTGGCCACTGAATTTTTTAAATAAAAATTTTACCTCATGTTATTATTATTCCTGTACATTACTACTCTCTTCTACCTATCAGTAGTCATTTCTTCTGCAGTATTCCAATAGCAAGTGTGTTGGGAAGACGAGGCTTCGTGACTGAAGCATGAGGGTGAAGTCTCCAGGACCTCAGTTTCTACATGGGAGATCCTAGAGGGAATTTTCTTTCAGCTTGAAGGAAAGTGGAGAAAAGTCAACCCAGAGAGTGTTGTTGTTGTTGTTGTTAAGTGCCATGGAGTCGGTTCCGACTCATAGCGACCCTGCACAGGGTTTCCGAGGCTGTAAATCTTTACGGGAGCAGAACGCCTCATCTTTCTCCCGCGGAACCGCTGGTAGTTTCGAACTGCTGACCTTGGGGTTCACAGCCCGATTCCTAACCACTACGCTACCAGAGAGAGTAAATGCCTAAAAAAGGCAGCCACCAGGGGGCAGCGTTCTACTCCCAGATGCAAGTACCTAAGAAATCAAAGGACACATTACATTAGGCAAATCTGCTGCACAAGACCTCTTTAAAGTGTTTTAAGAGCAAAGATGTCAGTTTGAGGACTAAGGTGTGCCTGACAAAGCCATGGTATTTTCAATCGCCTCATATGCATGTGAAAGCTGAGCAATGGATAGAAAGACCAAAGAACTGATGAATTTGAATTATGATGTTGGAGAAGAATATTAAAAGTACCATAGACTGCCAGAAGAACAAACAAATCTGTGTTGGAAAAAGTACAGTCAGAATGCTTCTTAGAAGGCAGGATGGACAGACTTTGTCTCTCATACATGCTATCAAGAGGGACTAGTTGCTGGAGATAGACATCATACTTGGTAAAGTAGAGGGTCAGTAAAAGAGAAAGACCCCCAATGAGATGGACTGGCACAGTGGCAGCAGCAATGTCTCAAGCAGAACAATAATTGTGAGGATGGTGCAGAACAGCGCAGTGTTTGATTCTGTTATGCATAGGGTTGCTATGAGTCAGAACTGATTTGATGGTACCTAACAACCTTGTGTGGCACTGTGAGTTAATGTGCCAGACGGCAAAACTGTTTGAACTACAAGGTCGGTGGCTCAAGCTCACCAGTAGCTCCTTGGAAAACCCTATATAGGGTCGCTATGGGTTGGAACCGACTCGATGGCACTTAACAACAAGTGGCCTGAGGTAGTTCTTCAACAACTACTTCTCCCCACACTGTTCTTACATCCATTCACACAGTTGGCACTCCAGACTCTACCAGGAAATAATTCTTGCTCACAATGGCCCTACAGGGCAGACTAGAACTGCCTCAAGGCTGTAAACCTTTACAGAAGCAGACTGCCTTTCAGTTAGCAGACAAGCATGATACCACTGTGTCACCAGCGTCCCTTTGGTTTCAGCAACAAGCCACCTTTATACTACTGGCTTAGTCATCCTGGGAGAGCAGAATGAGAGAAGGAAGATCAAATTATTTCTCCACTCAGAACTCTGTTACAATTTCAGACCTCTTTCTTCACGGCTTCATCTTTGACCTACCTATGTTGTTGTTAAGTGCCATCCAGTTAGCCCCTGACTCACAGGGATCACATGCACAATGGAATAAAATGCTGGCAAGTCCTGTGCCATCCCCATGATTGGCTATGGATCAGACCACTGTGATCTACAGTGTTTGAGTTACCTGATTTTCAGAAGTAGATCACCAGGTCTTTTATCTGAGTCAGTGTTAGT